TAACATTTCCATTCAACTTTGAGCAACAGGATACTCGTTTCTCTGGTATCGATCTTCGCGTATATAGAAGGGTAGAAAATAATGATAGAAGCTCAGAAAAAAACGAAGGAAGAGAACGATTTGTTTAAAGGTTTGAATTACGAGCTCGATATTTTCCTGGCAGCGAAATAACGCAAGTTTTTCAGCATCTCTGTTCGAGTTTCCATTGAATCCGAGAGCTTTCTCGCATGCGATAAACCCAGATATCGATATATTCTTTTTGTTTTTTCCCCCATTTTCCTTTGCTGCATTATAGAAATAATAGAAACGGGAACAGTGTCTGAAGTTTTCATTCTGGGCGCCATTAAACTCTTCTAAATATGCGGTTTTAGCTTTCAATGAACGCATCTATCGTGGAATAATTTTTTAACAATAGCTAGAGTATACATTTCTCATTCATTATATATTTCAATATAATCCTTTAATCAAATTCAAAACTTCTATTAAAAAATTGGCACTTTTTCTAAAGGTACATGTATTACAATAAAAAATTATTATTTCATTATTAACTTTTGAAGACACATATTTCTTTTAATTATTTTGTTGTTGCAATTTTCTAAACTTCCACTCTTTTGTTATTCATTTTGAAGTGAACAAACAACGTCGACGAAGCTAAAGCTTATTTTTAATTCATGTGATTGCGATTTGGTTGACAATCGCGTGACACAAAGTCTCTTTGATCCCTCACAAAAGAATCGATTACTCTGATTATTAATTAATCGCTAAACTGCATCAACAGATTAACTCTTTTAACATTTAACTTTTCAATAATTCTTCTAAATTTTTGAAACCTGACACAATAGTTATCTTCTTTATAAAATCATCGATATTAGAAATTCCAAAATGACAAACTACACGAATGAACGTACTTGCGCATAAAACCCGATGGTTTATCGTCGGAATGAACGCGAAAAGCGTGTCCATCAGACACCCATCGGCGATTAATCACTGGAATTCACGAGGATATACAAATCACCATCTCACGAGGATCGATTTCTATCTTTCGCTGTTCGATGAAATATCGGTTATTAATCCCTGACGATCCTGTTTTACGGACGGTCGAGAATTCGATTATCCTCGAACAATAATAATTCCCCTTTATATGTCACGTTGCAGACGCGAGACGACGCAGTTGATCGCGATGCTGGCGTTCGCATTAAGGGAATAGCTTATATCCGTTGGGGAGATTTAGACGACCGGGTCAATCGGGATCAATCGCGATGTAATTGAACCGCGTATCGTAGAAAACTGATAAACGAATATCGAAAACGATTTCGACGCATCGTACGTTCACGATCGGAAAGATTTTCGCTACGTTTAAAAGTTTTCCAGTGGTTTACTGTCAAAATTATGTATTTATTGATTTGATATTAGTGGAGGTGATATTAGTGGAAATTCGGTATGATTTCAAGTGATAAGTTGTGTTTTTGTGATTTTAAATAAAGGTACACCGCGAAAGAATAAAAATTCTATAGTGTCATATCAGTGACGACTGTATGAAATGATCGACAGCCAGTGAAAACGGAGAGCAGCTTTCCTCGACCGAAGATATAACACCATTATAATCAAAATGGTAAAAATATGACAACTTGATTATGCAAGTTGGATGCATTTTTATTGCATGACTGCACTATTAATTACAGCTTGCAAACTAATTTTATTAATAATTATCAGGTGAAGAATATAGATAAAATGACAGATAATATCTACTAAATAATCTGAACTTTTAATAATTACAAATTATACACCCTCTTTTGTTCTACCATTCGTTTCACGAGCAATGTAGCCAGAATGAAATGAATATAATTATGCAATTGCATTCTCCCGACTGATTAAATTAATCAAGCATTCTTTCTTTTAACAGGGAATGTTCTCGACGATACAAAAGCAACAAATATGCCTGCTGTTCTTCGTCCAAGTCGTCCTAATTGTGCTAATGGGAACGTTGATGACATACGGGCCGGAGGCGAACGCTAATTTACTAAAAAATCTCACAGGTCAGTGTGCATGCGAAACGACGCCCCTGAATTATGGGACGACATGGATTATCAGTGCGCGCAGCCCAACTTTTGTTATCGTTAAATATTTCTACGGTCCGATGTCTCGTCACTTTGAAAATTATACTCTGTCCGGTGTAGAATAATTTTTTTTTCCCCTGAATTTACATCGGACTGAAACGCGTCACTGATCCATCATTCCTCTCCTCGTTATTAACACGAATTTATGTAAAAGGAAATTTTTAATTATCTGAAATTTAAAAGGGGAAGAGGTAAATTGTGGATAAAAGGAGTAGGATTTTTCAAATATAAATGAAAAGTATGTTACAGCAAATGGTGAGAATAATTAATTTTTATTTGTTGTTATTTGTTTGAGATAGCCAATTTCTTTTCCCGTTTACAAATAAATTGTATCATTATTCGGGAAAGGGATATCAGGGAAACAAGCAATTATCCGCGGTCCAAGTTTCACCCCATTCTTTCTTTTAACTCCTTCCATCCTGGACACGAATAAAATTGCAGTCTTACGTCCCAATAAGAAAGAAAAAAAAAAGATCCGCTTACGTTCCACTTTGGAGTCCCAGTTGTGTTCGTAGCCGAGGGATTCCTTTCGATCTTTTACCGGTTGGAACAAAAGCTCGAGGCATCGGGAGACCAGTATGCTTTCATTTCCGAGTCAAAGGAGAATGTAACGAGAAAAGAAAGGTGTATCCAGTGTCCTAGGACGAATAATTCGAGGACAAATTTCCCGAGCGCCACGCGTATATCTACTCTTACTTTTTGCTAATCGAATAATTAAACTTTCAGGTAACCACGGCAAGGGACACGTCAAGAAGGCGAACAGCGAATCGTTGCAAGTTTATCCGAGTGAGTATTATTAAAATCGACTTACTTAATTTCGTATTTATATTCGCCCTCTGAGAAATGAGTAGATTCTAGACTCTAGAATGAAAGAAACCTTAGGAGAGACTCGTTCTTTAAACATCAAGGAGATAATAGATCTTTTTATTTTGATGTTAATATGGAGACTGCTGTGGGGATTATTGATGATATTGGAAATTTAATATCGTATAATTAAATTCAAAAAAAGAAACTTTTCCTGCTATGGTATCATTTATATTATCAGTTATCAATGATCCCTACTTAATCCTCAGACGGCGGACCAGGGAGAGAGCTCCAATTTTAATTGAATTTTTAATTTCTCTGAGTTGACCCAGACTCCACTATTTAAAAGCTAATAATAAAAATAATACCTTCTAATTGCACGAAAATAATACATGTGCATATTTTTAATTAATAATAATGAATTAATCAATTAATCAATTAACACATTGACAAATGCTGAAATATCATTTTCTCTAAAGATTATTTTCTTAGAAAGAAAAATACAGAACATATGAGAAAATAAAAAAGATGAAGAAGAATGTTTGCGTATCAAACAGTAAAGGTGTGGTAGCATAAAATAATAGAACGCGATCGTATACGTCGTTTAGTTTGAAACTACGTTCCAAAATGTAAGCAGAGCCGAGAATTAACAACCCCGACGCGTTTCCTCGCCAACATTATCCAACGAAGAACACCGTCGACGAACTTTCCGGATATGAGAGTTCCTTCGCTCGCGACCCCCGCACCTGAAACGCGTAAAACGCAAATTTACGCGTTACCAACGACGCTTAGCAGCTGGATCACGTGGAACGCGTGATGCTTAAGCTAATAACCGGAAACTAGAAGCCACTTCCTCTTAAGAACGCGTCCCAAAAGAGTTTCTAACCGAAGGAAACTCGGGTGAATTAATTATTATAAATGGTATCGAAATTTTTCTAATTTTATTTTGAATCTTAGGATCTCTAATTTCTTCTAATTTTAATTTAAATCTTAGGATCACCAATTTTTTCTAATTTTGTTTTAGATTTTAGGATCCCTAATTTTTTCTAATTTTAATTTAAATCTTAGGATCCCTAATTTTTTCTAATTTTAATTTAGATCTAAGGATCCCTAATTTTTTCTAATTTTAATTTAGATCTAAGGATCCCTAATTTTTTCTAATTTTAATTTAAATCTTAGGATCTCTAATTTTTTCTAATTTTAATTTAGATCTAAGGATCCATAATTTTTCTAATTTTATTTCAAATCTTAGGCTCCCTAATTTTTTCTAATTTTAATTTAAATCTTAGGATCCCTCATTTTTTCTAATTTTAATTTAGATCTAAGAATCCCTAATTTTTTCTAATTTTAATTTAAATCTTAGGATCTCTAATTTTTTCTAATTTTAATTTAAATCTTAGGATCCCTAATTTTTTCTAATTTTAATTTAGATCTAAGGATCCCTAATTTTTTCTAATTTTAATTTAAATCTTAGGATCTCTAATTTTTTCTAATTTTAATTTAAATCTTAAGATCACCAATTTTTTCTAATTTTGTTTTAGATTTTAGGATCCCTAATTTTTTCTAATTTTAATTTAAATCTTAGGATCCCTAATTTTTTCTAATTTTAATTTAGATCTAAGGATCCCTAATTTTTTCTAATTTTAATTTATATCTTAGGATCTCTAATTTTTTCTAATTTTAATTTAAATCTTAAGATCACCAATTTTTTCTAATTTTGTTTTAGATTTTAGGATCCCTAATTTTTTCTAATTTTATTTCAAATCTTAGGATCCCTAATTTTTTCTAATTTTAATTTAAATCTTACGATCCCTAATTTTTTCTAATTTTAATTTAGATCTAAGGATCTCTAATTTTTTCTAATTTTATTTCAAATCTTAGGATCCCTAATTTTTTCTAATTTTAATTTAGATTTTAGGTTCTTTAATTTTACTTTAAATCTTAGGACCTCTAATTTTTTCTAATTTTATCTAACAATATGGAAACTGAGCTGTTTAAAAAAGAATAATTGCATAAATAAGAGATCGATTGAACAATAGTTTTACATTGCAAATCTGCGTCATTCGGAATCGTAATTCAGAGAATTTCCTGCAACTCTAAAGCGTGTGCAAGAGTCAAAGGTAGTCGCGAACCAGTTGCCCTGACCTCTTGCTTTTTAAGCAGATGGCACTGATCTTTATCGAGTATTCAAAAGACCTCCCCACCATGGATAGACTTCGTTTCTGGATGCAAAAGCATGTCGATCCTCTCGACACTGTGATATCGAGTATCGTGTGAGTTAGGAGATCGAATTCCAATAAACAGCGAAGCCTCGGTTACCACAGCAGCCTCCTTTCCAACGTACCAAAGGTGCCTCTGTTAAGCTAATTCAAGTACAGCTACATCTCAAAATGATCTTCTTTATCTTTTATCGTATTTAAAAGTGTAATCAGTCGGTGTTTAAATTTGAAAAGAAAAAAACGACGAGAAGGTAAGAATATATCCGCCTTTGAACCAATGAATCTCCGAAAAGATAAAGGAGAGGAAACGAAGAGAAATCGAAGTTAAATTCATAGAAAGCAGAGAGAACGTTTAAGGTGGTCGAGCTGATAGAGGGAGGTAAGAGGGTTCCAAAGAAGAAAAGTCACCCCCCGGGTACCGGAGCCCAGAGTAATTTCACCGGCTCGATTCTAGCGTAGAGAAGGGCTGAAGAAAGCACGTGAAAGAAGGGATGACGAGGAACAACGTATCGCATGCGATCGTACTCCTCTTTATCGAGGGCTTCCTCCTCTGTGGTTTTTTGGCCACGTTTGATTACGCCCCCGAGGCGAACGCTGGTAACAGTCAGAACAGCTTCTCGCCTCATCTAAATGGAAAACCGAGTTCTTTGCCGGTCACGTACACACGTAAGTCCTTCGACTCGCTCTTCTTCTACGCCACCCCTTATTCGTCTTCTTTTTTTACGCCCTTTCCCCTTTTTCTTCTTTTTTTAAACTTGTCTAGACAGAGAAGAAGAAGAGGAGTTTTGTTAGCTACATTTTTGTCCCTTGAATTTTCTCTTGCACCCTTCCTCTTTTTTTTTTAACCTTATCAATCGTTTCTTCTTTTTTGTCATTAGTTTTCTTTTTGTCTCTTAATTTTGCCTCTTGCATCCTTCTTTTTATTTAAGCTTATCAATGATTTCTTTTGTTCTTAATTTCTTCAACCCTTTTTTATGCTCTAATTTTCTCTATTTTCTTCTTCCTCATCTTTATCATCCCCGTTTCTCGTTTGTTCTATTATTTTTTTCTTTGCCTTTTTATCGTTCACACCCCCTTTTCTCCTGCCTTTGAAAATGGGTGCGAGGAAAAAGGGAGATAACAAGAGGCGCGTGCGTAATATTCCAAGAAACTTGTCTACCTGTATAACAACGCGAACAGACGACTTCAGTCGGAGGATTTAACTTTGTCGCGTAGTCGGATAAAGTACGTATATTAACGTCCTGCTTCTACACCGGAAACCTCTTTGTGAGATATCGCAAGCGTTGTGTTACGCGGAATCATATTGCGACACCCTTGTTTCACCTATGAATCGTATTCTCTGTCAATGACAATTGTCGAGTTTTTGGAAATTAGAATTCTTCATCTGTAGAAATTGCCTTTCTAAAATGAGTTTTAGATATAAAATCTCTGAAGTCTATTCATGAGAAAATTCATTTTTATTTCCTTTAGGGGATGAAATATTAAGTTCTGTGTAATTTAGGAAGGAATATTTTAATTAATCACAATGGTTTGAACAGTTTCCTGAGAATTCTTCATTAAATTTACATTCTCAGTTTCATTGAATTATTATTCTATACTTAGGAGAAGCTGAATCTTTAAATTCTATCATTTCCGGCTACAGTGTTATTAATTAACAAATACTCAATCGGAAGATGGAAATATTTAATAATTCTACATTTCTTCATTTTCATAACAGCAATCTTATTCAGTCTGTCCTGATAATATAAAATCCCTCGTGTGATTCTGAAAAATTAATTTGACTACTTGGAAATTCTTTAATTTATAAAATATTTTAATTCCTAAATTGCCAGGTAAATGTGAAACAAATTGAAAAATAATGAACAGTAATTAATTTTGAGTGTCGCATGTTTTGCTAAGAGCTGGTACTTGGATTTTCAAACGAAAGGCTATAATAACATGATTATACATGTTATTAGGGAGCTAAACGAAGAGTAAGAGTGCTTTTTCGCCGTGGTCTAGAGAATTTCTAAATCTCTGGCCGGATATAAACACGTGGTCAACACTTTAGCCGTAGAATTTGAATTTCAAAGTGATACTTTGTGTAGATTACAAAACCGTCCCCGGCCAGAAGCATAATTGGCACGGTAATCTCGTTGCTCTTCAAAGATTATAAATTTTCACTGGGATCCAAGCCAGCCAAGGCCGAGTGTACGTGTTTTCTTATGGAAATCGCTTTTCATGCGACGTGGACGAAATTTCCTTCTTATGGAAATTGCCACGGTTAAGGAACGAGAACGAGAACCCTGTGAAAAGTCCGAAAACACGCTGCTCCCCATTGTCTTTTCTCTCTTTTTAAACTCAACACCACCTATTTCGTTTTTCTTTTTCTTTCTCCATTCGACAGACCGAGGGAAAATTTTCTCTACAAAATTCACGAAAGCCCAAGTTTCTTCTTACTCATTTATTTAGCGGCATTCGTTCATTTTTTAAATAATATTATTACCTTTTCATTCCTTCGGTTAAAAGAATATGAATTTAATTTTGTCTTCTCTTAGCAAAGAAGATAATTTTAAAGCTAACATTTTTACAACGTTGAAATTATAATTATTCTATTTGATTAATAAAAAATTTCATGGGTGAAAGTTTTTAATATTATTAGAAAAAAGATTTAAATTTCCCAGCCAAGGATTTATTTGTACCATGAACTTTTTACGGTTTACCTTGAAAAGGGATTTATTCCTCTATAAACTGAACCTATCAAAGGGCTCTTCCGACGTAATCTTTTTCCAATGGATACTCGCGACCGAACAATCCCCTCTTTTTACCTTTTTCTAGCACTATTTGTTCACGTATAAAATATGACACACAAAAAATGAAAGGAAATATTGTAAAACGAGAGAGAGATCGTGTTCTTAAACATTTTTCATTCAAACTGCTGACGTTACAAATTTCGTGACATAAAACTGTCGACAGATTTATTTTTTATCATCAGACACGCAGAATGCGTAAAATGAAAGTTTTACTTACTTCGCGAAAGCTTCAACAAAGTTTACCACTCGAGTTTCACAAAGTTGCAATGTGAATTATATTCTGTTATAAATTTCAGTACACGGTTTATGGAACACGGGTTTTAAACAAAATTACCGAAGGTTTTCGATAAACTAATTCGGAAGACAATTAGAGAACTCGCCTCGAAGGGTTAATCGAATTAAGTCGCGGAGAAAGGTAATTATCTTCGGTTTAAAAGTCGATTTCGTTGCAACTTTATCGTCGTCGATTCTGTTTCTTTCACCGCGTTGCTCGAATCTACCGTGGCTTTTTTCGAAAATTACCGTTTGATGGATGGGAACAAGCAAAACGGGACCACGATTCTCTCGTCATTGCTTCTCTCGTATAAAAGTCACGACAGGCACAGCAATGCCTCAAGTGATAAATAGATTACCTGCACGCGGCTCGAATAATTTCCACAGGAAGCTACGGTTTCCCCTGCAACCGACCACGGATCTTCCGGTTTTTTCCCTCTGGTTACTGTTGTATCAGAGGAATTTTCGTTCCGCCTTCGGTGATGAGAACATTATGAGAACATTAATCTATTGGCTATGTTATTTTATTTTTCTTGAAACTTCAGTTTAAGAAAATCCTTTTTACGTGATCTTTCAACCCTTTCTTTGTGGTGTATCGAGTTTAGAAATTTCGGAAAGTTTCTTATGTATATGAGATATGTCATTAATTTTGGAAATCTTTAATCTTACTCCATATACATATATGCAAAGAGTTGATATGGAGACGATACACGCAGACTAGGAACGGTTCAGAGAAGAGCATCTCTCGGTTATGAAATGTGGTTTCGACCTACTTGAATTTCGACTTGACTTCTCGATCATCGGTTATCCGCATATAAATTGCACCAGTGACAGGGACACCGCAATACCTATGATAAATAAATAGATCACCCGTTCAGGCATCTTCTTTGATCTTAGATCAGTTTCGAAGGAAACTAAGATCTTTTCCATATCAACTTGCACAGAACTTTTGAGATTTATTTAAAGAAAAATATTAAGCATATCTAGTTAGATTAACAAAAATGTCAATTTTGCAATTTGAAGTGAAATTGGAAATTTGAAACTGGAACGTTTATGTTATTAAGTTTGAGATTTGATAAATTGAAATTTGATGTGGAACACTGCTAAGGATATTTAAGTCTTCAAGCTTGTTCGATCGTGTCCCCTTGCAAAAACGTCGACCCGAATCACCACGATTTTGCTGATTATTATGCATTCACGAGGACTGCAAGTAGCGACACTCGGTGATGGATGAGCCCCGGGAAAAGCACGAATTATCTATTTTAGGATGGCCTAAGACGTTCACCATTTTCCAATGATTTACGAACGTGTTTTATACGAGCGAAGTGTCGACTCTTAATCCAGCTCTTTCCGCGTCTGATTTATTCCCGTTTAATTTCACGCGGAAACGAAGGAAAATTCAGTAGTACGATCAACCATATCTGCCACGGGGAGGTCTACCTGCTTTTAAACTTTAATCCTCTTGTACTTTTTCTCTCATTTTTCATTTCAATATTTAAAATTATTTAAAATATTTCCCCCATCTATTGTATTTATCAAAAAACTACCCTTAAAATTAACTATCATTTTTCAAGCTCTCGTACGCAAAATTTTTCTGTTAAATATTTATATTAAAAATATGATTACTGTATGTAAATGCAAAGGTACATCTCTCTTACTCCCCTCGTGAACGAGTTACCGAACCGTGTAATTGCGACGATCAATTAGCGCGCGATTAACTGCACCCTCGTAGCAGAACGAGGAAACAAAACGTGCAAGCAAAGAATGTCGCTCATTAACAGCACGCGAGCCATGCATGCGCCTACAAAGAGCTCTTTTTCTTTCCTAAAACGTCTCAGTGTATCAAGATGTCCATGTGATGATCTGGATCGGATTCGGCTTCCTCATGACCTTCCTAAGAAGGTACGGACAGAGTGCTATTGGACTGACTTTTCTACTGGGTGCCATTTTGGTGCAAGTTGCCATGATCTGCCAAGGTGTGGTGCATTTGGAGAAGAATAACAAGGCTTATTTGTCTTTGCAAAGGTAAATCGAAAAATTATTTAATTTTATTAAAAATAGAAAGCTGGATATTTGGTATGGTGATTTTATGGCATAAAAGTAATGCAGAATGGTACTTCTGCTATATCAATTTGAAGCTCGGCGTTTAATTAAAATTATTGTGTGGACGTTTTGTTAATATTTTTAATACAAAATCGCTGATGGCTAAAGTCTAACAATTTAAACGTAATTCACGAAGACAGAAGTGTTCCATTTTAGTTATAATAATTAATGCTTCTGTTTGATCAGTGTTAATCCGTTCGAAAAATTCGTAGCAGACAGTGGAAAGTCAGATCGTACTTGTAAATCAGAGATGAACCTCTGAAAAACCTTTCTAGGCACTCGGAGTACAAACCGACGATACCATTCCATTAGAATAATTAAACAAGAACTTTGGCCGTGCAAAGGTGTAGTTTCGAAGTTTAAAACGAATCCCGCTAATTACAACCGTCGCGTCGGTTGAATAACCTTCGATAATCCACGGGGCGAGTTTTGGAATTTTGAATTACAAATGTATCGCGAATGGAATTATAAAATGTTGATTGCCTCGCTCATATATCGGGTACGCCAGTGAATTTGCAACACGATTCGAGAGGAGAAAAATAACTGAAAAAAAAGATAGAATAAATAAAAGAGAGAGGAGAAAAGAACGGTCGAAATCACCGACGATGTTCGGGTTGAAAGTTAATTCCGATCACGTTCCGAACACGTGAATGATTTTAATTGACCGCAAACCTGATCAAATTTCCTTCGAAGATTGTTCTCTTTATCCTTGCTTCAAACGAATATTGAATTTTCAATTTTAGACCGTATTGTACGGGCAGAATGAGAAACTTGGGAAATTATTTCCACGAATTCCAGAGTATTGTAACATTTTCTGGAAAAAATTCGTCCAGAGGGAAAATAACAAAAATAGAAATGTTATTTAAAAGGCCGAATTTTGTAGAGAATTTAAAATATTATATTTTTGTAACTTTGTGCATTTTATTTTTCTGCTCGAAAAAGAGATGCTATGAATTTTATTATACATCAGGTATGCAAATTAATTCTGTACCTTTTCTTTTTTATAATGGAAGCAATTTTTATTCTTATCATACTTTTTAAAATATTCACATTTAAAATAGTAACCAAATTAATTCGTACACCTGATATTATCCCATAGAGATTAATAAGTTTAAATCACAGAACTATTGTTTGTAATTCCATGGAAACTGATTTCGATAGCCACAAATATTACCGGGCTAATAGCAGGGGATTTATAGTGTTAAAAAAAAGTTGCTAGAAATTTTCGTAACAGAGGCAGAGTACTTGAAAACCGTGTCCAACACGTAGTATTGGAAACAAATAAATTCGTACAGGCCCGGTAATATACACATCAGCTACCGATTGGTCGAGAAGTCCGAGAATATTTTTGCACGTTCCTCCACGAAATATATTCGAAACGACGATGCACCATTGAATACCAAAGCCAGCTTGTAGGATTGTGTTTGACCCGATGCAATGAATAGTTGATAAACCGTGAAGAAAAAAATTGTCTGCTCTCAATACTTTGTTTTTCCACTCCTCTTCTTCGCTCTGATATTCAATTTTCTCCGGTGGAAAATTTTCAAAACGATAAAATAATTAATACTCTTACAATGAAATAATAATGAAACCATCTATACGAACACGTGTCTCCCTTCACATCGATGCATAAATTAATAATGAAGTAGCTATAATCAACATTAATTCAACGAATATTGGACATTATACATAATCAATGCGTACTTAAATCCCTGCACAACATAGAATAGCACACGATGATATTTATTGAATCATATCTTTCGTTAACAATGGTATTGATAGTGATTATTTTCGCGTGATATTAATTTATGCTCATAATCGTCCATCCATTGGACACGTGTATAAATATTGACTCGTATAATGTGAAATATCGAAATTTTTAGGAAACTGTTTTCCTAAATTTTTATAATAAAAATGTGGAACATCCCATAGGAAATAAAATAAAATTTTTTTCCTAAGAGTATATTCGGATGGAAAAGAATTATTTTCAGAAGTTCTCCAGGATATTCACAAATGTTCGCTCGATACCACCCATGACAAAAGTCGTGAAACCTTTCAGAGGAAAAACTAACTCCATCAATTTACCCTCTGTTACTTTGAAAAAGAAAGAGGACAAAAAGGAGTGGGAGTAAAAAGGAAACAGTAGTCGCTCGTCAGCCACGATGAAAGTCTACACGGATATTATAAATATTTGTATTATTTGAAAAACATAAGAATTTATTAACAATATTTATATTGTATCCAGAGGATCGTTATAGCAAACAAACCGCGTGAACGAACGAGGAAAGGACGATATCGAAACGTCCCTTACGGTTTCGTGATCCGTCCTGTTTGCATACCAGTCGACGGTACTCTTGCGGATGTTATGAATACTGATCCCCAGGTTTTCGAGCGACTACCTGCCGGTTAATAACGCGAATATCGATCAACCACGTGCAACCACTTTCAGCCTTCTAAGCGCAGACATTGCAGTGGCCACCCCGTTGATATCCATGGGTGCTCTACTCGGTAAGACGACCTACATTCAGCTCGTGTTCATGGGTATCCTCGAGCTGATCATGTTCACCGTGAACAAGTACGTGGGCGAGCATCTGCTCATGGTAAGTTTAACCCTTCTAGTACGGATGCTTGGTGAACCAACCCTACTCTTGATTTTCAGTAACGATAGAAGGGTGTACTGTGATCTATATTGGACTCTTAGGATCTTGGAATGAGAAATTTTAGATTTTATACCTTTATTTTATTAAAATGGTAGAATAGAAATGTAGTACTTGCATTGTGCAGGGTTCTTTATAGGTACTCCACTTTTATTTCTAAAAATTTTTCCTCCCTTCATCGATAATATTCTATTATTATAATCTTTTAATTTATTTTAATAATTAAATTCAAAATTCTTTCCAACTATAACCTTCTAGTACGGATGCTTGGTGAACCAACCCTACCCTTGATTTTCAGTAACGATAGAAGGGTGTACTGTGATCTATATTGGCCTCTTAGGATCTTGGAATGAGAAATTTTAGATTTTATACCTTTATTTTATTAAAATGGTAGAATAGAAATGTAGTACTTGCATTGTGCAGGGTTCTTTATAGGTACTCCACTTTTATTTCTAAAAATTTTTCCTACCTTCATCGATAATATTCTATTATTATAATCTTTTAATTTATTTTAATAATTAAATTCAAAATTCTATCCGACTATAATTATCGAGTACTCTTGCACAGTTCTTTGTATTAATTTTTAATCGTTATCTACCATTGCAAAGAAGTTGGAAATTTTCGGTAACGCTGCCAATTGCGTGGAACGGAAGTTTTGAAAGGTGTTCAGGAAAGTTTGAAGTTCTCGAACGACGCCGGAATAGAATTAGTGAGTATCTGGTAATTAGAAAAGTTACGAAAGGTATTTCTAGCGTTCGATTTTAAGAAACGAACGAAAGTCAGCTGTCATGTAATCGACGCCGAAAGCTAAACGAACTTTAACCTGAATTTTTCCCTTTTTCTACACAAGATATTTGAACCACGGTTTCACCTTTTACCCTCTTATCTCGTTGCCAAGAATCAAATTAAAAAATTTCAACCTGTCGAATAAAATCCCTTTGTTTCTATTTTCTAGGCTGTTGATGCAGGTGACAGTATGTTTGTTCATGCATTTGGAGCGTATTTTGGCATGGCTGTTAGTTTTGTATTCGGAATGAAGGATAAACCGAAGGAACACCACCTTGAAGGACCATCCTATAATTCTGATATATTTGCAATGATTGGTAAGTCGATTCATAGCTTTCTAATTTCAAAGAATAATTAAGTATAAATTCTAAATGCAATTGCAAGAGAATTTTAGCCAACTAATAGAATCTCAATCTATGATTATAATTTTTGATAACACGTTAAATAATTCAGTTTCACTTATCGTATTTAAACCCTTTTGTCTATTCTAAATAATATAATTTAATTAAAATAGTAGAAATAGTGATCCTTGATATACTAGAAGACTGTAGCTGACATTAAAGAATCAGTAGAACAGGTCAGTGATCGGTGTAAATAATTAGTCAGACATCTAATGAACTGACTCCCCCTTAAAACTTCCACTCATGCATTAATTTTATTAAATATATATTTACAAAAGATTATTGCATATTAACCATCTAACATTACATTATCATAATTAGAAGACTAATTATCCTAATTGCAATTTTTTAAATCTATAACTGCCCAAATTAATACTAAGTAATAAGAGTCTTCCTAATTAACTAAAATCGTAGTAATAAATGTGCTAAGAAAATTTTTACAAACAACCACCCTTAAGGAAATATCAACCCCAAAGTGCTCTATTGAACATACTAATCAAAAAACTTCAGAACCTCCCCCATCCACGTGTCCTCGGTGTGTAAATTGAAATACCTAAAGGTAGGAGTAAAGGTTAAGTATCTTTACTGGAAGTGAAGGGAAACGGTTTGCTGGTGGCTAGGTACGGTGTTCTTGTGGCTGTTCTGGCCGTCTTTCAACAGCGCTACCCTCGAAGGAGACGATCAGCAAAGGGCCATTATAAACACCCTTCTCTCGATCTGTTCGAGCTGTGTGATCGCGTTCGCGACCTCCGCCCTGGTCTCGAAGGACAGCAAATTCAACATGGTCCACATACAGAATTCGACGTTGGCCGGTGGCGTAGCCGTCGGCACCGCTGCAGGTACAACAAGACCGTCTAATTAATCGGAGATTTACATTGGAAATTCAAGCGATGTACCTAACGGGAACGACATTTTCTGGATAAATACAGGCATGATGTGTCAACCGGTGGGTGCTTTAGTCGTTGGAGCCCTGGCAGGAGTACTCAGCGTGCTTGGATACAAATATTTGACGGTAATTGGCCCGATTTTCTCGTTTCACGATTTTCTACCTGTTAAATGCTTGCATGGTATTCCCGAAAAAAAGAGGGCGCCTTGTATATATAGGGCGCCTTGTATAAATGTTTCTATGAAGTTTTAGAATTTTCCATAAATTTTCCATCAAATGAATTCATATACATAGAGAGATACGAATATCTGGCAGAGAGCAGATGAAATTCGTTAAGTTTGTAATTTTAATGGAACCGTTTCAGATATTTAGATACAAACGTCTGCTTATAATTGGCCCTTCGTCTAATTTGTAATTTTGTCTGTTCACTCCGTGCTCGGTATTTCTCTGCAAAGAGATATAATCTTGGAAAAGAAGATGAGGGAATTTTGATAAACAGTGCACTTTCATATCGAGAATTTTAATAGGATTATTCTGAATAATGAAATGAAAATTTCTGAGGGAAAAGAGAAAATTTGATAAAATTGCAATTTCTTTCATTTCTATTTTGTATAATTTTCCATGGTATTTCTATATGAACAATTAAATAAAATTTTACTTAAACATATTTAAAATAGAACAGTATGATCGTCGCAACGAAAACAATTTCACATTTAGATAACGCTTTAAATCACTCAGCAAGGAATTCAATGTTAAACCCGATCACGTGCTGGCAAATTAAATTCACCTGCAATTCATAATCGTTTCGCCAGCTTCGTGGAACTTCACGTGCACGTCGTTACATCGACGAAAGCCACATTCTCCTGAAATTTATGTTCCACGTGTACGATCCCAACGAGAAGTTTTACAGCGACATTTTAGCATCACCTAAAAATTTAACCACTTCGTCCAGTAACTTCTGCATCGCTTAAAAAAATGAATATTAATATACAGAATTCCATAGAAGTTCCTTTCCGTTTTGATTTGATATTCGCCAAAGTTCCTCACGAATTTTCACCTGCATACCAATTTCATCGATTTTGAATCTATAGAGTCGTGCTTTTGCTCAACAAGAAACTTGGTAAACAAAGCACAGTATTGGCTTTGCTTTGATTTAAACAATAATCCTTTATAGAAAATAGAGGGGGATGAAGAAACAACCTGGGAGTCAGAAGGGTTAGTGTTCCTCTATTAAAAAATTTTAAAAATTATGTTTGCTCCATTTTCGGTAGATTTAATTAATAATGGAATTAATAGATCACATTTAGCGTTAAATGAAATGACCAGCGAGACTCGTGGTACATTTAGCGTGGCTGAAGAAGTGTTTAAAGAAATCAGCTCGGCTTAAACTTTCTCGAGACACCTGAAATTTTCTCGATACCAGAGGTATTGACACAGCGCGATCCGGAAAGACGGATAATCATCGCGAGGAACTGTCCTGGAACTTCTTTTAATTATCCGTGATTCGTTCGCGACGATCTCACCGTCGGTAATTCAATATTCTTTATGTACTTTGTTCTTCTTCGTCGTCGAGAACTTTCATCTAGCCACGAATCAAATTAATAGTGATACTTCCATTCAGCGAGCCTGTTCATTTTATCTGAAATAGTTTTATCCCTTGGACAGTGAACAATATGAATCTGATTTTATTATATGAAACTTTAATCCAAATATCTTTGTAATAAGAAGTCACCCTTGATCCAGCCGAGAAGGGTTAATTTGAAAATATCAATTCAATTTTCATTTTTCTTTTTTATTAATTTGTATAGATGAAACCAAAAAATTTCCAATATGGGACCTTCCTTGTTTCAAAGCAGAGAGTAATATTAAATAATAAAAAAAGAAGGAACCAGAGACTTTTAACTGATGGATGAAACAAATTAGCAAATTGTTTTTCAAACGAACTCGGTGCATTCCAACTGGAAAAAAACCTGTAGAAATTTCAATGAAAAATCGAGGAGAAACAAGGGAAAATAAAAGTCAAAGGAAACCATTTGATGAATGTGAGATTGTTTCGAATTTTTATAATGTAAATAATATTTGTTTGATCAATTGCAAGCGCATTCAGAAGACTGTGTAACTCTGTTATAGTATTATCTTACGAGTACATTATGGAACATAATTATCACAGGATTGTTTCATTATTTCATTATTAAAATATCAGAGTATTACTGCAACATTATCATGTTATTATTCCATGCTTTCCTTTTCAACAATTATACTGTGTATCTGTGTAGTACCATGCAAGTATTATTTTTACATGTTTTTTTATTTTAAATCAATGCGCCCTTTGATAATGGTACCAGTTGCCCTATCTATCGGTTGTCGAGAAGACTGATAGAAACAGATATTTCATTTTATAGAAAAATAGGGAAGATTTTGAAGTATTCTAAGATCATAATTTATTTCCAATTTGGATACCAAGATTTCCATAAACCTTGATAGAAAATATTATGTTTTAAAAAGCCCTCCAAAAAATTCTGCCGTTGCCATCTGACTTCAAAACGCTGAACTATTACCAATGCTTTATCGATACATTTACCAACGGTGGTGTTTTTTTATCATAATTCAACGTTTGACTACTAGATGGCGATAGCAATATTATCAGTGTGTTCCCCCACTCTTATTCGACGCTCGAGAGGGGAGTTTAACTTTCGGCGCTCACGATCAGTGCGTCTCCGACTTCGTCCATAAGTGGAGCATTTTAGTAAGAATTCCTCCCAAACGACTCTAAGCAAAAATGCATTGTTGTTCAGTTATTTCCACATATCGTGGGGCTCCCACGTTCCCACACTGCGGGTATCCGGAGAGCTCACATCAGTGGCGCCAGAAGGGTTTCTTAATTCCTCAGTCTGATAAAATAAAATATATTTTTGTGTTTAAATTCACAAATTTTTTATTCCATTTGTTTTAGCCGCTGATACAAAAGCGCCTTCGTATCCACGACACGTGTGGTGTCCATAATCTTCACGGTATGCCTGGGGTGCTTGGAGGTCTGTTCGGTGCTCTGATGGCTGGTTTAGCCACAGAAGCCTCGTACGATTATTCGCTTTACGAGGTAAATACTTTGTATTAATTTGTAGATTTATATTATTACATTATTTCTTATTAGATCTTCCCTGCACGAGCACCGAACTCGGAAACAAAGCTGGCTGAAATGAGGGACAATTACGGTGCGTTGTCACCTGGACAGAACAGGACAGCAGGACAGCAAGCAGCTTATCAATTATTAGTACTAGTGATTACTTTGGGAATCGCTATTGTTTCAGGATTGGTAACAGGTATTTTTCATTAATTACTCTTTCTCAGAATTTAAAGTTCTTTATTTATGTTTCTTAATTTATAAAAATACAATTACTTGCTTAGGTTTAATCATGCGCATATCGGTCTGCGGCTCAATATCCGAGGAACAGAAGTTCGACGACGAAGTCCATTGGGAATTAGAAGAAGAATCTTCGCACGAGTCCAATATAAAAGATGGAAACGGCTGCGATGGAGATCAATTACCCATGGGTCACATTTGAAGCTACACACTTTAATTTTATCAACTCCTTTCCTATCTTCTGCCATTATTTTTGTACAACGTTCAATTTTTTCTTCGTAGGGTGATTGTGTGAAAGTGCATGTTGCGTATGTGATTTTCCTAAACGCATTCGTGGCATAAGTGACCAATTAAATTATGTACATTGTAAAATAAAATAATACACTAAAATTGTATAAGCCTTAATTATTTTATATCCCTCACTAAATTCTCACACTCTTCATGGGCCTCTGCTCACCTTTCCCACTTATGCATATTATTACTTATGCGTCTGAACACTTGCATCAAAGCCGATTGATGTAATGTTTCCCTGATGAGATGGACCTGAAATTGCTAAAGAACAAACATATAAGATCAAAAATATTTATTCTCATGTATCTAAATTATTTGTTCTTATGTATTTATATATTAAACACTTGTTATGTACTTAAATGTATTTTTACCTGCTATGTCTACGACACGAATTTTTGTTGGAGGCTGAAACTCAGGATTATTACCGTTCTCTTCTTGAATATTTGTATCTGATATGAAAATAGGAGATCAATATATTACTCAATTACTACAATTAAATGGTTAATACAATTAATACTTCTATAATATTCATACCAGACTCAATCTGCTTTGGAACTGCTGTTGGTAATAAGCTGGACTTGGAAGGACCCATGTACATTCTATTTTCGAAATGGATACTACATACTCTGCGGGTCTTGTGGTAGTGTTGATATTCCGAAGACGGAAGATCTTCTCTACCACATGCCTGAAGCCAGAGCTTGCATCTAAAGAACATAATGATATAAATATATATACTTGAAGCATGTTATTGTTTCAAGATTTATGTTTCTATAGTACCTAAGTTCTTATATTGTTACACACATATGACTTTATAATACTTACAAGTCTCCATTCTTAGGAAATCTAAAAAAATGTACTTTCCCTCCTCGATTGAATCTTGCTGTACAATTTTTGTAAGAGCATGAAACTCCACTTCGTTTTGGAGCACTCATGCTGATATTTAAAAAATGCTGCAAACAAAAAACAGAAAATAGAAAATAGAAAGCACAAAGCAGAAAACACACAGTAGAAAGTAAAAAACAGAAAACACACAGTAGAAAGTAAAAAACAGAAAACACACAGCAGAAAGTAGAAAACGGAACAAAATCGCAGAACAAGGAACGATATCCGATAAATATACAAACCTCACGGTTGTACGTTTCCAACAGAAATGACCAAGCCACAGTGCACTCCGTACCTACCTGATACCTGCCAGGTAAGTACGGAAATTCCCGGTTTATGACGGTCTGAAATGCCATAAACTCTTGCTTTTTGGAGCATTCTGACAAAGAAGTTTCCACAATATAGGCTATGTACGTAAATCCACAGTACAAACTTGTCGCGCGCTCACGACTGTTCACGGTGTAAACCGAAAATTGCCGAATGGACCTTTAAATGGGTAGTATCACTTTGTCTCACTCTACAAGTAGTTTCTCTCTCAGAGTGTCGCCTCTTATTATACTTACTCTTTGACCCGATTGTAGGGGCACCTTCCCCTTTAGTGCTTTTTCACTAGACGAAAGGACACTATGTGCTTTCTTTACAACCTAGTTCATAATTTATACAGCCTGGTTCACAATACGTTTCGCATCTATATTCTATTAAACCAGCGAGGATCGCAACAAAACACAGCATATACGCAAAAACAAGTGAAAGGGTGAACTTTACTTTACCGGATCCACAATTTTGGACTTTTTTTTTTAATCTATAGTTTTTGATGCGGAGAATCCAAAAATGCAAGTCTCAACTATAGGAATTCAGTGGTTAAAAAGTTATAAGCGTGTAAAGTTTGACATTTTTAGCGGATTTGTTACGTTACTGTGACGCCATATTGACTTCTTGTCCAATGAACGGTGTCGCTAGCTGTAGGCAGTTCACGTGGGTGCCAACTACTTTGGCGGGTAAATTTGATACTGTCTGAGTTAGTTAGGTGTATATTTTTTTAAAGAGAGAGAGAGAATTCAATTTTATGAATAATTTAAATACAGCTAGTGATGGGACTCATACCCAACAAATAGAGTCAAATTGGCGGCCGGCGAAGGACTGGATGAGGGGGAGGGGTCGTTTTCACGATGAGGAATTTGCCGATCGCTTATGCGAATATCTGTGGCGACGGTTTTGCCGTCACAACAACATAGACCTGATGGGATCAATGATGGAAGCGATTCGGAAACAATATGTTTTTAATTAAGGTAAGCGGAAGTTTAGTTCTACGCTATGCGAGGACCAATCAGGTTATACATCTAAGGCAATATGGCGTCACAGTAACGTAGCAAATCCGCTAAAAATGTCAAACTTTACACGCTTAACTTTTTAACCACTGAATTCCTAAAGTTGAGACTTGCATTTTCAGATTCTACACATCAAAAACTATAGATTCAAAAAAAAAAAGGTCCAAAATTTTGGGTCCGGTAAAGTAAAGTTTACCCAAAATTTAATATATTTCCATTACTGCACATATATTGTTGTAATTTTTTCCCTTCCATTATTTTTATTCTTCAAAGTTTTGAATAAGTAAGACCATGCACACGTATATAGAGATTCACGTGCTTGCGTGTGGATCTCACCGATATCATTTATATGGGTCGTAGCGACACCAGCGATCCTGATATTCGCGGAGCGTACTAATTTTCGTTACAGCATGAAATACGGGAGTTTGGATTGGTTTGGAGGGCCTGAGAACGGTTGTATTGTTGGAACGAATAGTTTGATGTAACCGGTAACAATTAATATTTTATTGCCCTTAGTTACTGATGAGATAGTAAAAAATAATTTCTTTCTAATTTTTTGCGGTAAACAAATCTATCAAAATGGTAAGTGTAAAACAATAATATGAACGTTATAATTTTTAAATGTTTGAGGAAAGTTAACGTAACCTCAACTATAAGTGTAATCATAATTTAATAAACGTTAAATGAAGTAAGAGATCATTATTTTATTTTAAAAACGGCAATATTTTTTTTTTTATTTTTAAAATTGGTTTTGTAAATTAAAATAACATTTGTTATTTCCAGACTATCGGCAAAAACAATAAAATGCTGCAGCATATCAATTATAGAATTAGGATTATTTTGCAAGATTCTAGAACATTTATAGGCACGTTCAAGGCCTTTGACAAACATATGAATCTGATACTTGGAGATTGCGAGGAGTTCCGTAAGATTAAGCCAAAAAATACAAAGCAACCGGAAAGAGAAGATAAACGTGTGCTGGGCTTTGTTCTGTTAAGAGGAGAAAATATCGTATCTTTAACTGTAGAAGGTCCTCCACCTCCAGAAGAAGGATTACCTAGAGTACCTATTCCTGGTGCTGCACCAGGACCTGGTATGGGAAGAGCCGCAGGCCGTGGTATGCCTGCTAATGTCGCTGGAGTACCTGCTGGTTTGCAAGGACCTGTTAGAGGTGTTGGTGGTCCATCGCAACAAATCATGACACCAGGAGGTAGAGGTCAAGTTTCTGCTCCACCACAAATGCATCCGGGTGGTCCTCCACGTATGCCAGTTGGAGGTCCTCCACCTGGGATGATGGGTCCACCACCAGGGATGATGGGTAACATTTGTTGTTCCAGAGAATAACATAATTCTCTAAAAATAACTTTTTATCTAAGAAATAACATTTCTATTTTAAGTCATTTATACAGAAACTGTAACTGTTGTGTTTAATTATAGGTATGCCACCAGGAATGCCACCAATGGGACGTGGAGGTCCACCAATGGGACCACCTGGAATGAGAGGTCCACCTCCTGGCATGATGCGTGGTGGACCACCACCTCGTCCGTACTAATAACTCTTAAACTATTATATTACTGTATCTGGTAACAATAAAAAACTCTGTTGTAATAATATTTTTTCGTTAATGTATAGTCTATTATGAATTATACGTAAATTGTCTAAAATAGATACTAATAACAAAAACAATATATTTTTTATACAAATAAACGTACAAGGAAAAGTTGAAAAACGTAATAAAATGTTACAATTTATGAAATAATTACCATAATTAGGTAACATAGTATGCGAGTTATAAGAAATTGCGCTATTAATGTTGCAGTTTTTTTTAATTTGCCATCCTATAATTATATACAGATAAAAACATGAATAACTGATATTCAGTATAAATGATAATGCATTCAGCCATCCCACTTTCATTTTATTTTCAATTGCTTCGAAATTGTAAAAACTGTTGTTTTGAATCAGTTTAATAAAATGATCGAATTATGTTATTTTTAATGATGAAATAGCTGAGTTATAAAATTATGTACAAGAACATAAGTACAAAATGAAATTAGTATTGTTGAGCAGTTCATTATTTAGAAGCTCATCACTAACTTTCTTTTAAAGAACCAACGATTTGTCTTGTGCCAAACAAAAAAGAAAACAGTTTTTGACTACCTCAAAATTTTTCTTTATAAATATCAGATTACCCTAAATACAGTTGTACTTTGCATACATTTTAACTTTACTTATTATTCTAATTAGTATGTAGTAGTTTCTCTACTTATCATATAAACAAACTAGATTATTTTTCATACATATATTACTTTAATAATGCAGTTTGGACTATAAAACTGAATTTTTTCATCTCTTATTAAATATAAAAAGTACATCATTCATTTCATTTGACTGTAACAATATAAAAGATAGTTTTCATAGTTAAACAAAAGAATCTGAAGAATAAAAGCTTAAAATATATACATATATTAAAATAATTTTTAATTAATAAACGATATTTCAAAGCACTAGAAGGGTAATACAATAAACATGAATACATTTCTCTACTAATAGTACTTTAAAAAAATATATAGTTTATTGATATTTGTACGATGTGAAAGGAACAATGTTTGAGATTATTCCTCGTTTCGTTTACTATTTCCATAATCCTAATTATATTGGTATTATTCAACATAAATTAATTTGTAAATAGATTTATTAATTTCCATTTATAAACTAAACAATATTTACAGAGAAAAATATTAACGTTATAAATATTATGAAAAACATTAACAGAGAAGTTATACTTTTCTTTATTAAAAGAAATGATAATTCAGCTTTTTCTGAAAATTTAATAAAATGCTATTCACATCAGTATATTCTTTGACCACTGAGTTATCTGTAATTTATACATTTGGCACATGTCACATAAAAATTTATTATGTATTTGAATAAGTCATTAAATTGACTTAACAAAGTACCGATTTTCTTAAAGACTGTAGTTTATAAAAAAAAAAAGATACACAGAAATATGCGTCTATGTAAATAATGATATATTCAGTTTTTCTGTGAAATTGTTCTTTTTTTCTTTAATAATATACATCACACAAATTTTTGCTATAAATTATTACAATTTTTAATTGCATCATGATTATGTACTAAATATTTGAAGTTTATGAAATTAATAACTGTCCCAGACGTGACAGTTTAATTACAGTTTTAATTTTATATCACGTTCTTTAATTGAAAGTATCATTAAATAAAAGTTTTTAGACAAAGTGCAGAAGCTGTAATTGTTGAAAATAATTTAAACTATACAATAAGTCCTACAAATCACTTAGATTATAACAAAGTATGAATAATATTTGATAATATAAGCGAACAAAATAATACTAATAATGAAAGTTATTAAATAGAATTTCATTAATTTACCTTATGTATTTACATATTACTTTGAATTTGAAAGTATTTGTTTACTTTTTGAACATTTTATAGGATCCACAGAATTCTTTAAACAAAAAATTTGCGTTTGCATATATATTTTTACTTTCCTTAAAGAGAAAAATATTAATTAATTGTAGGAGTAATGATAAAAAAATAATTTAAAAAATAAAAAATAAATGTTATAGTCAAAAATAAAATAATTCTCATTTTATTTTTAAATTATTCATAAAAGTCTTTTTAATTATGCATGCGTTCAATTGTATTCGTTAATGTCGTACAAAATTTACACCGTTTTATTCTATTCAAGAAGCTTAATTTTTCGAATATATTTCAATTTGCAAAATATTTTGCACATAAAACATATTATTAATTTACAATGAACAATTTACAAAAGGTTTTTCAAAGTAATTATAAAGTTAGTTATTGGTATTACATGCACTTCTTAATAACAATTTCCTAATACATTTCCATAGTTTCAAACTGACCTGTGTTTTTCATCTTTAACAGTAGTAATTACAGCATCGGTTTTTACAACTAATTCTTTATCCTGTACATGTAAATCACTGTTACTTGGTTCTTTCGAAAGACGAGCATTTGTATTTTGTATCACAGTCTTAGATTCAGAGGTAAGAACGTTAGATGATTCAAAGAGATGAGATAATGTTTTATTTTTTTCTAAAACATCCTGTCGAAGATTGAACATAATGGTATTACCAGACTGAAAAGTAGAAAAACCGCGATCAATTTTCTGCTAAATAACACCGTAGTAGCCAAGGATTTGTTGCATATTAAAATTTTAATAATAAAACTTTTTTAGAAGTAACTATCGTGATAAAAGTAAACAATCGTTACCTTTATATTGGATGTTACAGATTCTGTATGAGATGAATTTGTTGTAGATAACATAGTTACAGCTTGATCTCCGTTATTTAATGTAATATGACGTGGTAGCACACTAATGGAGGCGTTGTGTTGATTTGTGACACATAAACTCTTTCCACCCATTATCATGGTTCCCAATACTTCCTATAATATGCACAATGCTTTTTAATTTAAAATATAAAATTGTTATTTTACAAATTTTATATATGTGTACCTTGCCAGCATGAGAAAGAGTTACACCTTTGGTTTGACCCTTTTGTATAACGATCACGTTTGTTTTAGAACCTAATTTCGTGTCAGGATGGTGAGCTATATTTACAGTTGTATTAGAGTTTAATGTAACACCCTAAAACATTATAAATATTATATTTTCAGATGAAATGTTAATAAAATTTTTTTTGGTTGTACATGTAAAGTTATACCATTTTGGCAGTGGTTTGATTACTGAGTGTCGTAGGTAACTTTTTACAAGTCAGTGTTGTTACTTGCTTCGCTTGGGGTGGTCCTGGTCCATTGGAAACAGTTGTAACAGGACATACAGCCATAAGTTGATGTGGATTATCTAAAAATGTTTTAAAAAAAATGAACGAATATAGCACGGCTTTTAAGATAATTTACAGTTGAATAGAAGTTTTATTACTTGATGTAATAGCCTTAGTTATGGGAGGTTTTACGTTAGAATGTATCACTGGTATAATACGCTTTGTATGGCTAACAACTGAATTTGAATTATCAGCGTTCAATGTCTTTTGTAAATTATGAGATATGGATGATACTTTAGAACCTAGAACAATGCAGAAAATTCGAAACAATGAATTATGATCAAAATTCTATTATGTTTCTTCAGAAAAATATATTCATACTTAAACTATCCTGGTTTGATGTATCCTGAGTATCAGATTGTGAATTATTTTCTGATGCACATGATACGTTATTAGACATTAAAATTGCAGATCCAATTTTTGTATTAAGCTTATTCTGGGTTGTAATTATTCTTCCTTTAGTTTTCGTAATATTCGTTGTACCTACTGGGATTACTGCATTTACAAGATTGCCAGATGATTTTTCTGAACGACCACTGGCATTTTCTTGTACTGTTGACTCTTTACAATCTGGTTTTAAAGTAAATAGTTTAGATTTTTTTTAAATATATCATAAATACATGATAATAAAGATAATAACCTGTAACATTTTCTCCGCAATTAATATTAAGTGGTATTATCGTGACATTTTGATGCTGTAATGAATTTGTTGGTATTCGTGATAAATGAATAGTATTTTCAAGCGATCCTTTTTCAGCAGTACCATGATTCAAAGTTCCTACCGAACTTGAAGACACTACTAGAACCTATATCATACGGTGTTTATAAATACTATGTTAATTACAAATAAAATTCTTAATCTTTGCTCAAGTACCTTGCTTGGAAGTGATTGCAAAGGAGAAGAAGGTTTACGTTTTTCAGAAACACTACACTTTTCACTGACCTCAAAAGTATTACTTTCATTATTTACATCTTTATCCTTATTTAATTCCTACAATGTATTAAATGAGATAAGATAACTGAATATATCTTCATATTATTCAGCAAACAAGCAAATGGTTTTACCTCGTTTACTACATTTTCATTGCTTAATTTATCTTTGTTAAGCAAAAACTCAGAATTGCTAAGCAATTTTTCTTGTACTTTTATCTTCACTGGAGATTCACTTCTAATATCTATTAAAATGAACATATTTCAAAATTAGTCTTTGATCCTTGAATTAATGCGAGGGGAAAGCCCCTTACAGTTAGTAACTTACAGTTCTACAATCATACACCATTTTACATAGACTAAAACCACACATTTACCAAAATAGATAATATTTTTCCTTAAAACCTTTTGCATCCTCCATTTTTTCGTGAACAGGAAGGTTCCTTTTGTTTGCCGCTGATGTTGCAAGGGCCAAGCTGTTTGCTAATGTTGTGAAAGCAGATCGAGCTTTTAACCTTGGTAAAAGTGGAATAACACGACGCCCTTCGATAGTCCAATCTGTACCAGTATTTGGACCATTTAACCTATATTAGAAATTGAATAAAATTTAAAATTTGAATAAAAAAAATTATGATATAATTTGGTTAATAAATATTTACTGTTCAGCTATTGTTGCTAGCTTTTCATCGTTAACAGCTCTCCGCACTTCAGCACGATGTCTTTCATTAGAAATATGTAAAACTTTAGCGAGTTCTTGTAATAATTTTTGTTTCTCATTAGTGAAAGGACCTTGTGCACGTAACACAGACACCATACTTCCATAAGCATCTAACTCTGTACATAAAAAAATTATTTTGATTGCATAAATCATATGATAGTTATAATACATAATATGTATATTTCATATACAACTAACTTTTATCGAATCTTGTGATAATGTTTAAAACTTTTATAAAATTCATTAAATTTATTGTTTTGCCTACTTCTTTTACTATTCTAGGTATAAAATTAGATAATTTAGTTTATACGCAAATTTTATGTTCAAAGTTCAATTAATAAAAAATCAGATAGTTCTATTCTATTTTAATGTTTCTAATGAAATAACAAAAAATATTTAAATAACTATTGATTTTTATTTTTATATTGCAATCATTATGATATAATAAAAAAAATAGTTAATTCGATATGATACAACATAATGCATAATGCGTTTGTGCTCACAGGATAAGATGAATAAATTAAAATAACAGTATTTTCCGATAACAACAAAGATATCATTAAGTATAAGAAAACTATTTAGAATGTTTTAGTTATATTTAATAACACATAAGTACATTTTTATACAGCGCTAATAATTATTAATATGTACAATCATAAATAATGATGATAATCGAATACTGTTCTTCAGCTGATCTTTCCATTTTCTATTTCTCAATGATATAAATCACGCGTATTATAATATATTCAATGCGTGCTTTATAATTAAAATTATACTTCCAATGTGTATAACTCTATTTTGCGACTGTAAAGAATTATACATTACTAACGCAAAAAAAAAACAACAATTAATTGAAACATAACCTTACCTAAACATCGTAAACATTTTCTGCATTCATCGCGGGTCATCGTTTCATGCCTCATCGACCACATGATTGCATGATTCAATCGTTATAATAAATACGATAAAATTTCATCACTATTCGTACGCTCTGCCCACATTTTCGACGTTTCGTTGACAGTATGGTAAGTTGATGTAGTTGCCGTGTTGCCGTATAATTACTTTTAGTCACTTTTACCGTAACTGTTTTTTTCTTGTGCACTGTTGGTATCACTACCAACAAAATCAACAATAGTTGGCTAACTTGAGTTACACTATAAGCAAAGAGTAAGTAAACAAGAGGTGCACTGACAAGGAAACTAAGTACTTACATATGTATACACTTGTAGGGAGAGGCAAAGTGATACAACCCATTGAATGTCCATTCGGTAATCTTCGTTCTCGGTCGTGAACACTCGAGCAGTTGGTACGTATAGTATTTTTCACGAGAGAGTAGTATCATTTCGCGCAGTTCGACTGAGCTCAGAAAGTTCCCCCACCAGTAGCGCTACTCCACCATGATTTACTTCTCATTGCATCCGCCTTATACACGGTAGACAAAATATACTAACATAGGAACGGAACAGCTTATCAAAGGACAAAGGTAGTGAATTATAATTCACAAGTTTATGTTCACCGGATATACTTTCTGTCCAGCGTGGCTTACGACATACAACCGTACAGCGCTTGCGTGTTACCTTGGTAGCGAAGCGTGGCAGAACCAATCAGAGCCAACATGCGCAAACAAAACCAAAATTCGTTCATCCGATATTAGTGCTCTCTTCATAACAGTAATTTTAAAGTTAAAGACCAAACACCAAAATCAGTAATTATTCCAAATAAAGAGTATGTCCTGTAAACTATTTTAGCAAATAGAAAACAATTTGTTTTTGTGTTTGATAGCCACATTGATCAAGTACCACCGAGTAGTTTAGTCATAGTGATCGATTTTGTTGCGAAAGGTAGGAAATAACGAACAAATCACTAAAATTGAAATAACTTTTGAACCATAAAAAATCGAACATATTATATAAAACCTTTTTTGTCGGAAATGATGTCCTCTATCACCCACTTGCTTTTGGACCACTGAAACTGGGACACCCTGTATATTGACCTTCTATTTTCATATTAGATACAAATATTCAAGAAGAGAGCAGAAGTAATAATCCTGATTTTGAGCCTCCAGCAAAATTCGTGTTGTAGATATAACAGGTAAAAATACATTTAAGTACATAACAAATATTTAATATATAAGTGCATAAGAACAAATGATTTAGATAAATTAAAATAAATACTTTTGATCTCATGTGGTTGTTCTTTAGCAATTACAGATCCATGGAGACATCAGGGAGACATATTATAATGGGATCATTTGGGTTTGGTGTAAGTGTCCAGACTCCAATACTGATGTCTGCGAATACACCGAGAAAGCGGAAGCTGCAAAATAGAACTTCCAATTTACAGCGTGAAAATATAGAATTAAAAGCGGAAGTAGTAAAGCATTTGAAATAAGCAATCTAGTTTAAGTACGTTTCAGAGTTTATATAAAAAATTTTTATGCTCGAAAATAGTTAATTTCGTTAATATGTAGGTTGTACAAAATAGTAGAAGTATTCACGGCAGACAGTATACAGTGTACATTTTGTTGGGCCAAAATGTTATCGGCAGGTGCAAGCCACATTTGTCTTTCCGTCGACGAGGGTGTTACAGAGGAATTTAGAAAAAATGCAATTTTTTGTAGGGTTAAACAATATTTTATTTGCCATTTTAAAATTGAAAGTAGAAAACATGCATAACTTAGACAAATATTGCTCAGTATGTGTTGACGACATGTTGACAAAATTATCCGAACAAACGCTTTCATTATATTATCAATTACTCCAGCTGCTCGTGAATCGTTCCGTGTCGAGTACTGTGTCTACCACAAGAAAACATTGCTTAAACAGAATGCCTTTAAGTACAATACCAGATACTTATTGCACAAATGCTTAAAAATTCACAGTTGCCAAATATGCACTATCTTTTCCAATAGTAACGAGTTAGATGAAACCAATTTATTTACACATTTTAAAGCATATAATACAGAACGCAATTTTTATGGTGCACTAAGAGATCCACACGAAACCTTTTACAATTGATTTATTTACTTTAGAAACAGTATTTTTTTCAAATGCACATTCTGTTTTACCTCGCACCAATGTAGGAAACAATATGTATCAGTTATGTACAATATCAATCATAGTGTCCGTTCGTCTAGTGAAAAAGCACTGACTTTGGAGTCCAAGTTTAACTGTAGCAAATATCGTAAATCTAATTATTTAATAAAAGCGTTAAATTAATTAACATAATCATCTGATAAAAGCTTTAAAATATTCAATAATTTAGAATTTCAATCATTTATTTGAAATTACAAAATACACTAGATGAACGGACACTATGATTGATATTGTACAAACAGTATCAATCATAGTGTCCGTTCGTCTAGTGAAAAATCACTGTCTTTGGAGTCCAAGTTTAATCGCAGCAAATAAATATTCTAAAGCTTTTATCACATGATTATGTTAATTATTTTAACGCTTTTATTGAAAAATTAGATTTATGATATTTGCTGCGGTTAAACTTGGATTCCAAGGTCAGTGCTTTTTCACTAGACGAACGGACACTATGATTGATTCTGTACAAATGTTACCGGTTTCACTCATCCTTGTAAGAATTTCCCTTTGCAATATTTATTATAGTTATTTATTCAATTAAGAATTTATTACACATTGAAATATAGTAATAGAGATTTTAAAACGGGTGTAAAAAAAGATAGGAGGTTTCGCATTGTATTGAATTTGTAAATATTGTAATGTCCTTTAAATGTTATCCAGAACCTTCTCTCATCTTATTGTATAATTATGTAATTTATATATAAATATATTTTCGAGAACGTTCCCTCATCTTAGTGTACTTATGTTTAAATATATTTTCTAATACTATCATTTAAATATTTCCTATTTTCCCACTTTTCAATTATGTAAAATTAATGTAAATACTTCGATTAATAATATACAGTAAAACTGACGACGCAAAACGATTTCTAATTATTAAAGATTGACATGAAATGAAAGTATTATATCCAATAGGGAAGAATTCCATTTTTTCAGAAATATTTTTATTCGAATGTTTATATTTCGTTTTTATTGTAATTTTTTGTTTCTGATTTTTAAATGCGAAAATGACTGAGAAAAAAGTTATTAAAAATAATGATATTTGAATCGACCAAAAACGCGGTAAAACCCACGTACTCGCTGGTGGCGTTATATAGCATATAACCTCGAATGCAGTGTATACGTTTACATAGCGAACTAACGAAGTGATTAAAAATCTACAATTTGTCATCTTCCCTATTCATTGAAACTTCGAACGAATCGATGACTTTAAAAGTGCCGCCAGGAGTGTCGCTTCTTGTTATAACTCCTCTTTGCCATAAGTACTGTCAGAGGGACAGTAACGTCATGGTTTGCGTGTGTAATTATACAAAGATATGAGAGGAGAAAGTGTGCTGTGAGTATGCAAATGCGTATGCAATGAATTTGTAATACAGGTTACATAAGTTATATTTAGCGCCATTAATGTAGCTAGGCAATATAGGGGGCGCTTGCCCCCTGAAGCGCCATCTTGGGCAGAGCCCAAGAAAACTAAAATACAATACAATACAATACAAGTACTGTCACGTACTGTCTACCGATCACAAGGAGTCTTATAAGAATAACGCAATCTGATTGATCGACGATGTCATATCAAAAATTAGAGGGTCAGTCAATGTGTGCGTAGTATGTATTCCTCTCTTACCCCTGTGTCGCTCCGCGAGACTTCTTGTGATCAGTGGACAGTACTTCGAATACGTTTCAAAATCAGTAGTGATCATTTTATAGCAGCGTTGATAGTTTAAAATTGTTGTTAACGATAGATAATATAAAATTCTTTATTTTTGAAGAAATCTAAATTTTGATAGTGATTTTTTTGTATAACCAGTTTCTTTGTCGATTACTTCGATAACCTGTTCAGTTCGAAATTCAACATTATTAATTTCATTGAAATACGCTACTAGCACACAACAGAGACGTCCATTTTACGTCCATTTTAGGTCTGAATGTCTTACGACCTTAAGCCTCGTACTGACTTGGGCATTTTGCCCAAACGAATGCTCTCGGCGAACGAACGTGAAATTTCTTCGGCTGTTCGCGCAAATCTTTCTACCTGGGGTACCGTAAACCTTTATATCTGGGTTCTATGTAGAAAGGTTCTTTTTACCGTAAACCAGTCGAAGTCAGAATGTCGACAGGAACAGATGTTACGATCGTCAGTGCAGCGTATATTATTATGAACACAATAATTTAAAAAAAAAAGAAGAAAAAATCAAGATAAACGATGGTGGATTAGTCAGATGTATAAAAATAGATCAACCTCTAGTGGTGAAAATCTAATTAGAGATTTACAGGTAGAGGCTAGTGGACATTTTAAAAATTTTGTACGGATGTCATCGGAAGATTTTGAATTTTTAATAAACGCTATCGGTCCCAAAATTCAAAAAAACGACACCAGATTCAGAAAAGCTGAAATGACGATGAAAGAACGCTTAGCTATAACGCTACGTTTTTTAGCAACGGGAGATTCATATACGAGCCTTCAGTATCTGTTTAAAGTATCCAAATAATTAATATAAAAAATTGTTCCGGATTTCGAAAATCAGTTTATGACGGTTCATCAGGCCATATCATAAACTGAGTTTTTCCGAAGGGTAAATTCGACAGCGGTCGACTAACGGTACTTGGAAAGTAACCGGCACAGTAAAATTGTTCGCACGAATATCCTTTGATGGATCGACAGCCGTCGGAAAGCGTTCGTTCGTGCCCAGGGCCTTTGCGAACTCATAACGGGTCGTTTTCGGCGCACGAATGCTCTAGTGAGTACGAGGCTACAGCGGTCAAAAAGCGTTCCTTCGTGCTCTGGTCCTTCGCGAACACATTAACGGGCCGTACTCACTTCAGCATTTTTGCCCGAATGAACGTTTTCGGCGCGCAAATGCTTAGGTCAGTACGAGCCTTAACCCGAGATTCGACACTTCGACTGGATATATGCAATGTTTGGGTCCTAATTTCTTTTGCATATATCCAGGATTTACTGTACACGCCCGGAAACCTTCGCGGGCGTTCGCACAACAACTCACCAAAGTTTCATCGCAATCGGATGAATGGTGTAGGAACGCATACGGAACAAACAAAGAAACATTCATTTATTTATATATAGATTTCATTAAAATCCGTTTAGCCGTTTAAACGTGAAAGAGGAAGTCTCTTTTGGGTAGCCACGAACGTGCAGTCACCTAACGGTTGGGAGCGGTAGTTAGGGAGTAGGCTCATTGTCAGAGTGCTGAGCGCTGAACATATTCTCACGTACTTTTATGCGGATGTAATATCATTTTTATTAAAATAATATAGTCTATAATATAGTCTATGTCACTCCAGAGAAGGCAAGGAAGCCACTGTTAAAATTTGGTATCAATCGGATAAGTAGTTTTTGAAATTTTTCTGTACATACAAACAAACGCTGTCTATTTATATAATATAAGTATGATATGATATACGCGTTTATCGCTTAAGGGGCTATATCAGTGTAACACTATTGAAAAATCTATTTTTTTTTCTTGCATTTTTTGAAAGTCTATACTCCCTACAATATCATATTAAAATTTTAAGGTCGAATCTCAAATAGTTTAGGAATGGCAACGTTCTAAAGAGTAACTACTGGCATGTCAGAAACGCGCTTACCGCCGATGGATCGCGTTTTTCTCAAAACGGTATTTCTCAAATTTGCTGCAGCTCTAACTCGAATACAAATTATTGCATCGACTCGAAACTTTTTCAGCGTGTTCAGTAAGTACATGTTTTGCCATGCCATGAACTAGGATTTTTTTTATTGGATGAAAAATGTCAATTTGGCATTAAAAAAACTACGATGTTTTTAGGCTAAATTCCAAACTTTTCTTCAAAACTTCGCCACTTCGTCAGATTTTGATATTTTTCAAAAATCCTAGTTCATGGTACGGAGAATACCTTCTAGTTTAACAGGGTCTTTGTCATTTTTCATTTTAAGCACTCAGACGGCGGCAATCACTGCAGCAGTGGAGCAACTTTTTTTTTTGGAGCCCTGGAAGATAGCGTATAAGTCGCTTGTTATTTATTATTTTTGTACCAAAAAATTATTATAGATATACGACTTGTAACTAAATACATCCTTAAAGTTTAAAAACATTTGATGTATTATTTCTTTAAAAAAAAAATCTGTCCTGACGCGGATCGCCACTATCGGTACTTCGTCTCCTGCTAAGCTATTTCGCTTTTTGGTTTGATAAAGAAATCGATGTTGCAACTTTCTCCTGGTGGTTTTTCAAGATAAAAATTTTCTCTATCGCGTGGTATAATTCGATTTCACGCTAGACCTCCACTTTGGTGCCAAATCGGGGTCCCTCCTCATTCAATGATCGTTTAAACATACTTAAACATTGATAATGTATTAAAGATAGGTATCGTTGTATTCAGAAAAGTCTACAGAATCTTTTAGTATAAATAGTATTTCAATATCTTTTATAATTACGTCAGAAAATTTGTTCAAATCTGAAAAATGTTTTTTTTTTCAAAATCAGATTTCTCAAAAACTGTACGTGTAGGAGCAAAACAGTTTGCAGATTCGTAATCAGCGTACAAAACACTATAAGAATCACCTAGTGGGAATCGGATCGTCCAAAAAAAGTTAAAATTTGTTGTACTGTGTTATTACTTCAAATTCTCGAAGTTTTTATTTATGAGAACGGGCGAGGCCGCGACAGGGATGTTAGTAAACTCATAAAACAGTTTGGATACGTAGGGTCGCGATTAGAACATTTCAGATCTATCGGAGTCCTGCATATTTCTTAACTAAATTTAGAAGTTGTTAAAAAGAATAAAAGTGTTTAAATGCTGCAGGAGCTAATATTAACAATTTGTTCTGAAATAATTTGCAAGAAGGTAAATGTACACAAACTTATTCTGTTTTCCGCAACGCGTAAATGGGACTTTCCGTCTCGTTAAGCATCGTACTCACTTCAGCATTTCGGCCCGAACGAATGCTTTCGGCGCACGAACGTCCGTTCGGGTGAAATTTCTTTGCCCTCTCGAGCATCGCATTCGTGTATACAAAATCGTGCTCTGGCTGTTCGCGCAAACCTTTCTACCTGGGGTGTCGTAAACCAGTCGAAGTAAGAATATCGTCAGGAACGGACGTACTACCAGAAACCCGTCCACACCGAGCGCTTGTTCGCACGAAAATACTTTGACTAACCGACAGCGGTCGGAAAGCGTTCGTTCGTGCTCGGGGCCTTCGCGAACACAGTAACGGGCCGTACTCACTTTGAAATGGACGAGCAACACGAGAGTAACCAGTTGTCGATACAACTCTTGAGGAAGGTCGACATGGAGTGGACAAACGAAATGGCACTTCGTCTCATTGACGAATATGAGAGGTACCCGATACTGTGGAATCTGAAAGACGAATTTCATTATTCGCGAAATAAGAAAATTGACGCGTGGGAAGCTATTGCTAAAGTTTTTGGAGTGCAAAGCAGTCAAGCGAAACAAAAAATGAATAGTTTGCTAGCGTCTTTTCGCCGGGAAAAAGCAAAGGGTGCAAGGAGTATTGGAAAGGGAAAAGGTATTTATATATTTCTATGTTCAATCAGGTGTAAATATTGTATATAATTATAATCAATACAAAGTAATTTTTTATTGACAGCTCGTAAAGATGTGTATATATCAAAGTGGTTCGCTTTCAAGCGAATGCTTTATTTATTAGACAAAGACGAACCGCGAGCAACATTAGACACAAAGAAGGTACGTAAAAAATAGTACAATTTATAAGATTTATGCATAATCGTCGTGTCATTCTAAACGCCCATTAGTAACAAAGTATGTACTCTTTAAACTCGTCGCGAATTTATTGAGCATTTAGTGGTGACTTCCGAGGAATGTTTGTTATTGAAATTAGTGAATTTGAATTTATTTCTTGTCTCCAATTACCTTCGACGAATACTCCATTTTATTCTGACAAGGGGAACTACCCAAGTGTTACACTCATTTATTAATGAAACTTCGCCAGCTTGTAGAGCTCGTCGAGCTGAACACACCTATACCCCGTTTTGTGGGCAGACGACTAATTGTTTAAAAGATATTAATAATTAAAGTTAGTTACTACTTACATTGAGAAGTATGACAGACTCACAGATACAACTCGTAATCTAGAGATCCACGGTTCAAATCCTTGATTCCCAACATTTTTTTTTTTTTTAATGACAATTTGTCTCTTTTTGAATAATTCTTGATAAAAATTATCATTAAAAAAAAAAAAATTTTTTTGTGAACCAAGGATTTGAACCGAGGACCTTTAAATTGCAAGTCACGGATCTGCTCCGTGGTTAAACACATTACAGTAAAAGCTGGATATATGCAACAAAAGTTTGGCTGGATATATGCAACATCGCTATCCCCTTCACTTGGGGGGATCCCCCTAAGCCGAACCGAGCCGCTCGGCGAGGAAACTGTGTAATATGATCCGACCGTAATATCGGTGTGACTAATACTAATTGAACGATAAAACTTTTTTATTTTTAACTTTTTCTTAATGAAACTTTTACTAACGCATTTGTGAGATTTTTATGATTAAAATGGTACCGAACACGATATAATTTGAATTATATTTATTTATTAAAATAATAATAAAACTGTACATATATATAAGGCAGGCCGTACACCAAAGATACATCAAATACGCAACATGCAACATGCAACACGTCGCATGTTGTGTACGAACGTAGAATAGGTATCGCGGCACGGTACAAACGATTTGTACGGACACAGAATCGATACCAAGACTGGATATATGCAACGTTTAAATGCCCAGAATCGACACCTCGGCTGGATATATGCAACATTAAATGCCCAGAATCGACACCTCGGCTGGATATATGCAACGTTTGAAACCCGAGCCGACACCGCAACCGGTTTTCATTTCCAATCCTCCTTTGCTTTTCGCCAACTTTTAACATCAATTTTAGCAAGTAATTATAATTGAAACTATATCGTGTTTGGTACCACTTTAATCACAAAAATCTCACCAATGCGCTAGTACAAGTTTCATTTAAAAAAAGTCAAAAATAAAAAAGTTTTTTGATTCAATTAGTATTAGTCACACCGATACGTTTCGGCTCTTTCCTTTGATCATCAGACCTCTCTCTTTCTGCCACTGTCTGTTCTTTTCTACGTTCACACTTGGCTTCTCGTCGCGTGTAACCCGAGATTCGACACCTCGACTGGATATATGCAACGCCTGGGTCCCAATGTTTGTTGCATATATCCAGCTTTTACTGTACTCGTAATCTAAAGGTCCTCGGTTCAAATCCTGGGTTACCGTCTTTTTTTTTTTTATATAATGATAATTTTTATGTAATAGTTATTCAAAAAGAGAGAAATTATCATTTAAAAAAAAAAAATGTTGGAAACCAAGGATTTGAATCGTGGATCTCTAGATTGCGAGTTGTATCTGTAAGTTTGTCATACTTCAGAATGTAAGGAGTAACTAACTGTAATTGTTAATATCTTTTAAACAATTAGCCGTCTGCCCCCAAAAGGGGATATAGGCGTGTTCAGCCCGTCGAGCTCTACAAGCTGGCAAAGTTTCATTAATAAGTGAGTGTAACACTTGGGTAGTTCTCCTTGTGAGTCAAAAGTCCCTGCAGGAGAGTATAATGAACGCGAATTATTATTTCTCCTTAAAAAATTATGATACGCTTTTATCGGCTCCAATAACATTGGTTTTCTCAATACTCGAAATACTGCCGAAGAAATTCCAAACACATTTTCAACTACTCGTCGAGCTCTGCCGAGTCGATAGTTAAAAATCTTTTCGGCTGATTTCTTATTATAAGTACCAGAGAAAGGTTTCATTAAATTTTCGCTTAGAGCAAATGCCTCGTCACTAAGAAATACGTATGGTATTTCTTTGGTCCTATTTGGCAAGACCGATTTTTCTGGTAACCTCAAAATATTTGTACGTATTTTTTTTCGATAATTCGCAATTTTTAAAACATCCGCCCTCCGAAATTCAACATTGACATCCTGCATCGACATATATGAAATTATAATCGGCATCAACTATGGTAATTAAGACAATACTGGATTGCGATTTATAATTGTAAAAATCGCTCTCACTGTTGGCAGGTCCCTGCAGTACCACGTGCTTTCCATCCATTGATCCTATGCAATTTGGGAAATTCCGTAAGTCTTCAAATTTTTGCGAAATTGCCAGCCAATCGTTTGAACATAGAAATATATACATACCTTTTCCCTTTCCAATACTCCTTGCACCCTTTGCTTTTTCCCGGCGAAAAGACGCTACCAAACTATTCATTTTTTGTTTCGCTTGACTGCTTTGCACAACAAAATCTTTAGCAATAGCTTCCCACGCGTCAATTTTCTTATTTCGCGAATAATAAAATTCGTCTTTCGGATTCCACAGTATCGGGTACTTCTCATATTCGTCAATGAGACGAAGTGCCATTTCGTTTGTCCACTCCATGTCGACCTTCCTCAAGAGAGCTTGTATCGACAACTGAAAAAATAAAAATAAAAATAAAAATATACATTTGTTCCAAACACATAAATGTTTAAAAGTAATGTAACAAATTAAATTTGTAGGAAAGCTGCAATGAGGAAAATAATGCAGAACAGCCCATACCTCACAAAAACCCGATCGAAAATACGGATACGAATGAAATTGCTACTCCAGTGCCTCCGAAACGTCATAAGCGAGCTTACGAAAAAAGGGATGAGGAGAGATTGGAGGAAGCATTCAAGATTTTAAAACAATCAATATCAAAGGAGCAACCGGACGAGTGCGAGACTTATACGAAACATATTGCCAATAAGCTCCGAAGTTATAGCATTCGCACACGTGCTCAAGTAGAGTATGCTATTAACAAAACTTTATTCGAGGCAGATATGGGGATGTATGATCTAGCTGCATCAAATCAGCATTATCATACTCACTCCGTTCAGCATTTCCAAAATCATGAAATGTCAAGGAATTTCCATAGGAAACCGGCTTCACCTACTCCGACTGCGATCATTAATATTTTAAATGCCGAAAAAGATTTGTAATTTATTAGTTATCATTAAAGATGTATTATTTAGTAAGTAAGTCTATGTATACATTAAATAAATTAATAAATAAGTATTTTTAAATATGTACATTTACCTTTATATGTTCTTTTAAAATTTCAACAAGCGCTTGACATACTTCCGGAACAATTTCTGATATTAATTGTTTGGATACTTTAAACAGATACTGAAGACTCGTATATGAATCTCCCATTGCTAAAAAACGTAGCGTTATAGCTAAGCGTTCTTTCACCGTCACAGCTTTTTTGAATCTGGTGTCCTTTTTTATCCGACTTCGAAAAGAAAAAGGATACTCAATTCGATGTGTATTTTTTTTTTTTTTTTTTTTTTTTTTATGTATGTTCACCGATTATGACGAGACGGATGGACCAATCGGAACGAAACCTTTTGCGACTGGTAGAGTATGTCTCCCGATTGGTCCCGTTAAAAAAACATTTTGTATTTTTTCATTCCGAACGCTTTTTATTGCAAAAAAACGTACTATATCATGTACGTGCGGTGTACGTTCGCCGATTACTCCGAGGCGAATGGACCAATCGGAATGAAACTTTTTGCGTCTTATAGAGTGTACCTCCCTATTGGTCCCATAAAAAAAATATTTTGTATTTTTTCATTCCTAACGACTATTTCTTCTAAATGTATGTTCGCTGATTACTCCGAGATGGATGGACCAATCGGATAAAAAATTTTGCATCTTGTAGAATATATTTTCCGATTGGTCTCGCAAAAAAATGTTTGTATTTTTTCATTCCTAACGACTTATATCGCAAAAAACGTAATACTTAATTTATATCTTCTGGCGTTTATGCTGCAGGGAATGTACCGATTGCGATGAAACCTTTCACATTTAGTAGGAGGTATATCCGCGATAATATCACTTGCAAAAATTTATTGAATTTGTTAATAACTACTGTTATAGCAAAAACTCTACGCCTTCATGTTACTCTGCAAGGAATGTATCGTTCGCGATGAAACCTTTCATATTTGGTAGGAATTACAGGGTGTCAGGCGACTACCTCGACAGCCGTAGAGGGATGATTGTTAAGGGGATTCTAAACAACTTTTTCCTTTGCCAAATTGTTGGTTAAGGCTTGGTTTTCGAGTTAATAACAAAACCACCGACCAATACGAGCGCGTACAGAGTGCAGTCCCTGAGCCCGCGCGCTGTACGCGCTCGGATTGGTCGGTGTTTTTTGTTAATAACTAGAAAAACAAGCCTTAACCAACATTTTGGAAAAGGAAATAGTTGTTTAGAATCATCTTAGCAATCATCCCTCTTCGGCTGTAAAGGTAGTCGCGTGACACTCTGTATATCCGCGATGATCCCACTTGCAAAAATTTATGAAATTTGTTGTTTATTAACCATTTAAATTTGGTAAATATTTTTTCGGTTTATGGTTATTAGTTAAGCAACAGAAACCCAAAATCACCTTACACTATTCTACAAATACTACAGGTTCCACTAAAAAGTGTGAAATAAAATAATTTTTAACAAAAAAGAAATCCGACTTCGAAATGCAGTAAAAAGTGTCAAATAATTTCTATTTCATTTATACCAATATTGCATAGCTATTAATAATATCTACTTAATCGTTAAATAGTATACCAAATACATTTCAAAGTTTTCGGAGGCGGCGCAAAATTATAAACTTTTCTTCTACTAGGAAGATCCTAGTTCAGGGGTCGGCAACATATGACAAATGACCCATTTGATAATTTCAAGTAAACAACATTCAACGGGAATCAATATACCCATTGCGGATTAACTATACTGCAGTTCACGAGGGACCATACTTAACTCGCGCCACAGCCGACTCTAGTACTAGCCGTGCTGAAGTAAAAATGGCAACACCGCGGGAGTCAGGTCTGAATATATCAACACCTACCCTACTCTATCTGCCTCCCGGACTCACGGACTCTCAGCCAATCAACGTCGTCAGATTCCCGACTACTCTCTGGACTTCACATAACCTCTTTGGTTTCGTTCCAATAATTTCGCTTGTTTCAAGGTTTTTATTAACTTATATACACGTTCATCAATTCTTAAATGTTTCAATTTGATCCAAAGATGGTTTCATTTTGCTTCATACCTAAATTTTCTTGAAACCACTGTAAATATTTCAAATATCATGCTTCACAACACCAAACTACATTGAGAGTACACAAAATATATATCACATTTATAACAATTTTATACTACCACATCACTTCTATTTGCCATAGTTGCAACTTTTATGTATTGTTTATACATAATTAACACCAAATAGTGTATATTACTACAGCTTTTAATTAAAAAAGACGTTAATTACATTTCCGAGCACAGGACACTGTTTTTGAAAATAGGACTCCCGATTGTCACGTGAGCGGTGTTGCCACGTTGTTCAGCATGGCTAGTACTAGAGTCGGCTGTGGAGCTGTCGAGAATTGCAGTATACATGTACATCAGAAGTGCTACCAACTTCTGATACAATCATTACAAATACGAATGTTTTCTGCCGTATCTATAACGTTTCGAATTTTTTTCTTACGACTTATTAATTACCAGGTTTGCCATACCGCAGTCAAATCGTTATTAGCAGCATCGTATATTCGGGTTTTTAATTTTGCGCCGCCTCCGAAAACTTTGAAATATATTTGGTATCCTATTTAACGATTAAGTAGATATTATTAATAGCTATGGAATATTGGTATAAATGAAATAGAAATTATTTGACACTTTTTAGTGCATTTCGAAGTCGGATTTGTTTTTTGTTAAAAATTATTTTATATCATCCCTATTTTCAATCTCATGATATGACTTAGGAATTTCGCAAACTATGGATTAAGCAGACAAAAGATAATCATCTGGCATTTTACTTTCATCGTAAGAAACAGATGGACGATGTTTAATCCTCTCACTCCTCCTTAATTCGGGAGAGATTTGCCTTTTTCCATTATTATTATTGTTATTAGATTCATTGTGTGTACTTGTTCCTATCACAGATTTATTAAGTTCAGGACTTAATTCAGCATTTTTATTAATTTCGACCACTTTTGATGAAGTTGTATCTAATTTATTACTATTAGATTTTTGAGAGCTTACTGATTTAGGTACATCAGTTTCAGATCGTACCATTTCAGGTCTTGAAATGAAAAAATGAAACATGTGATCTTTCTTCAAAGCTGAACTGCTATATACAGTGTGATTCTCTCGCTACGCAAGACAAAAGCCGTGCCGCACAATCGAACCCTGCTGTTTTTGCGGGTAAAGAGACCCAGGGGTCATATCGCCGGACCCAAAATTGCTCTGTGTGTGTTTATGGCTGCGACGAAGACAAGGAACGGAACAGCAGGGGTTCCATTGTGCGGCACGGCTTTTGTCTTGCGTAGCGAGAGAATCACCCTGTAGCAGTACCAGCTATCCTTCCTCCTCCAATCGCTACTATGCTCTCCCCATCACACGAACAATAGCCAATCAGAGTGGAGAGGGAATTCCGCTCAATAAGCATATATAGAAAGCGAAATTTTCGTCGCGTCACTTTAGTTTCGGAGTTTGAACGAAGCATACTTAGCGACATGGCTCGTACTAAGCAAACCGCTCGTAAATCTACCGGTGGAAAGGCTCCACGGAAACAGCTGGCTACCAAAGCTGCTCGTAAAAGTGCGCCTGCAACTGGAGGAGTAAAGAAACCTCATCGCTACAGGCCTGGAACTGTAGCTCTCAGAGAAATTCGAAGATACCAAAAGAGTACGGAACTCTTAATCCGTAAATTACCTTTTCAACGTCTCGTTCGTGAAATAGCACAAGACTTCAAAACGGATCTTCGTTTCCAAAGTTCTGCTGTGATGGCTTTGCAAGAAGCCAGCGAAGCTTACCTTGTTGGACTTTTCGAGGACACCAACTTGTGCGCTATCCATGCCAAACGAGTTACAATTATGCCAAAGGACATTCAACTTGCTCGACGTATTCGTGGAGAAAGAGCTTAAGTTTAAAGTTCCGACTTTTATAACAATCGGCCCTTTTCAGGGCCTAATTTTCTTCAAATGAAGAATACTTTCGTGATCATTATATTAGATTTTCAGATACACACTATCTATGCCAATATCATTATAAAATGTAACTTTAATCTTTGAAAAATCGTATCAGATTAAGGGAAATATTTTCAATATAAAATATAAGAATTCCAAGTGTATACTGCTACACTCAGCACTTGGCATTTATTTCGAAGAAAACTACAAGTTTTAAGTGAAAAGTATTAAACAAATATTTCAACAGAAAATGATAAAAGTAATTAATTTCATATTTTCTAAAATGGTCGTTGTTGCAAGAAGGTCGAGATTTTTTAACAGTAACGTAAGGTAAACCCTAAGTATTGACGAACTGAAAGGATGCTTCGAAATTCGGGATGTGGGATTTGGTACATAGAACGCCTGGAACGAATGTGCGCAGATGCCACCATAGAATGGCTCCTAAGTAGCTACAAGTTCCCGTTTTTTCGTACCCGTACAACTGTTCGTCTTTTGTTGAGAAAAATTCCGAACACACCGATAGCCATTGTAAAGTGTCGTGTTGTTCGAAAAGAATTCACAGAGCTTCAGCTGTCTGCAAGACGTTCTTTCCATTCTATCAATAAGCAGCATTTCGAGAGAACTTATACCGTATTGCAGGCTTGGTCAACGCTTCCCTTCCCCTTCCACCACTGCTCCTTCAAGTAAGATGGGACGGTTCCGACTATCGTCTCTCCGAGGAGACAGTACCGCCGCTAGGAAATATGTTTGGGGCGCTTGGAGCGCTTAGCGTTAAAAATATTAAGAAAAGCATATTTCCTAGCGGCGGTACTGTCTTCTCGGAGAGACGGTAGTCGGAACTATGGATGTTCGATTCCGATTCGATTATTTAGAAAATCGATTCTTTCGGTAAAAAATCGATCTTTTGAATCGATTCTTTGGTATTCGATTTTCCCCAGAATCGATTCTTTCATGTAAGAATCGAAGATTGA